GATCCTCAAACATAAGGAATGCATTGGCAGTACACTGGTGCGCGATATAAAAAAAAAACAATTAGTGCAATAATTGTTTATTTTCCCGCGATTCGCAACCCTGGTCAGAAAATCTTGCGGGGTGGTGGTGCGTCAAAAAATCAGTTCTTGTGATGCGGTCGGAAGACGAATGTCAGTTCAAATTTAGATTTCAGAATGGTTTTATGAGGACTGGTGTGCCGCCAATACGCCCAAATGGGAAAACTGGGATTTTGTTCACCATTCCTAATACGACACCCACCCCCCTCCTGTCGTTTTCCGTTACCCCACATCAACCGAACACATTACGCGGGAAAGTATTTTGAATGTAAAATTACACATTTTCTTGTGTTACGAATAAATGGCATGGTAAGTATATAAAATATATTTTTTTATATAGTACACGTGTACGTGTTACACTACATCAAGGAAAATCGTGCAGCTGAATCTCACTGCATCACTAGAAGCTGGGAACACCACATGGCCTGGGACTCAGGGGCGCAATTGGCGAACTCTGTACCTCAATATATTTGGCACAAAACCGCGACAGCTAAAAAAAACCCACAAGAAGGCATTGGTTTGCTGTACGAACAAAACTGGGCCACTGACATTGTGCGAACCAAAATGGCATTTTGGGCAGACACAGAAATTCTAGGAAAGACGCGCAATAAAAACACCGGGCAAAACAAGACGAGTAGGGCACAGGCGCGGACTTGGGAGGTTGGCGGATCAGACGATGGCTTCCAGACGAGGTGGACGACGAGTGTTGGCACCCCTGGGGCTTCGGGTGGCCGGGTCAAAGTTGCAATAACAAAAAAAATCCATAAGGTAACTACTTTCCACATCCAGGTGAAATGGCGGTTGAGCTGGGTCAGTGGTGAGCTTCTGAAGAAGGACCTGCAGCAGCTCCAAGTGACGGCGCTACCAAAAAGAACAAGTCTTGAGCTTGCGAACTGCGGCTTTGTGTCCTGGGCTGTGCCACACCTGATCCATGACTAATGTAGTGGCATCGTTGGAGGCCAGTGCATGAGGCATAAGCCGGCCTGTGTGAGGCACGATCCGCGCCGCTCACACCAGCCACATGCAGTGCCAGCCTCTGCCGGTTAGGGGGCGAGAGCGCCAGGGACGGCGCAGGGGTTCTCCGGGGGCCATGGCACTCCAGGTTAACCTGGGGGCCTGGTGACCGGAGGTACCGGCCAAGGTGCCCCAAGGAGGGGGCTGGGGGGACCACGGGACCAGGACCCTCTCGAAGGCTCGAGAAGGGAGACGTGGCCAGGGGCGGAGGAAGCCCCGGGACTGGCAATATGAGCCGGACCCCTGAACGGGTCCGGCAGCTGTTGCAAGACTGAAGACAGGAGCCGTCACCCCGAGAAGACCTGCCCGACTACAGGAGCCAGGGTCCGGTCCGAGATAGCCACCCCGTGTGAGCTAGGGTTAGCTAGCCCGGAGGAGACACCTCCCTAGGGTAGCTGGTGAAGGGGCAGTTCTACCCCTTCGTGTTTTAGGGCTTATTGTAAATAAATGTGTTGCCTCCCTGGTGTGAACCACTACACCTTTATTACCATTGTGCTTTTGTTAACCCAAGAAAAGCCTCACCGAGTCTCGAATCTTGTTCAGGAGGGTCCTCCCAAGTTGTCCGCAGTAGAGGGGCGATGCTGCTTTGCTTAATCCCAATTGAGTAATTTGCAGGGAGTTCTCGTAGCATTGTGTGTTTGTTTGGTGGGTAAATTAATGACACCAAAGTGGCACAATACTTAAAGCTTCATCAATGAGATAAAAAATACTTGTAAGCAACTTCTAAATCCATCACCGCAGCGATGAATCTTCTTTTCTCTTCCAAAAACTTTCTATATTCGTAAAAAGGTTGGCAAGCGAGGGATCCAGGCGGCTTTGGGAGGAGCCTGATGATTACCTGAAACCAGTGGCAGTGAATGATCGCAAGTCAGCAGTAGCGGAACTGTGTTACCCACGGTTTGAGATTCGGTGACTGCAGTTGCGCTGTGGGCTAGGCTTAAACTGCCCCATCGTTGTAGGCGAGCGGTTGCCAACTGACGTCTCCCGAGCTGCATTCGGCTCTTTAATCAACTACGTGCAGCTCCATCGAAGGGGCATAACATAGAACGTATTATCACAGTAGCAAAGAATAACTAATATGTCTCGCGCTATGCCAAAAACTGTCAATGATAATGATGTAAATTCCATAGTTTTACCATGATAGCCTTCTTTAAGCAAAACCGGTGTTTTCTTAAATATCCAATTGGGTTTATGGTAACCAATTCCATGTCTTTTGAAACAAAATGATGGATTAATTAAACAAACAATGAGTAATTAAAGTTCAGGGTAAGTGAAAACGTAAGTGAACCCCTGGTTTCATTAGCTCAATTAAGGTAATAATTAGAATCGGTGTTTAAATAATTAGGTAGATCTTTAGGGGTGAGTTTGGGAGGCCCCACCCTATATAAAGATCAGAAACTTTGAGAGTTTGGCCTTCACCATGCAGGTGTGGAAAGAAGTCATGCCACAATCAAAAGAAATCTAAGGACCTCAGAAAATGTTCTATTGATGCTCATCAGTCTGGAAAGAGTTACTAAGAATTTAGGGCTTCCCAGGAGCGGCTGTCCTACCTAAATCTCTCCAAGAACAAACTGGAAAATCATCAAGGAAGTTGCAAAGAGCCCAAGAGAAACATCCAAGGATCTGCAGGCTACTCTCGCCTTGGCTAATGTGCGTGTTCATGACTCAACTATCAGAAAAAGACTGAACAAGAATGGTGTTCATGGAAGGAGAGCAAGGAGAAAATCACTGCTCCCCAAAAAGAATATTGCTGCCCATCTAAAGTTCACCAAAGAACACATAGATGATCCACAAGACTTCTGGAACAATGTTTTCTGCACAGACGAGTCAAAGGTAGAACTTTTTGGCCTCGATGAGAAACGTTATGTTTGGCGACAACCAAACACTGCTTTCAAACAGAAGAACCTCATCCCAACCGTCAAGCGTGGTGGTGGAAACGTGATGGTTTGGGGCTGCTTTGCTGCCTTAGGATCTGGGCGGCTTGCCATCATTGACACAACCATGAATTTTGCATTTAATCAGAAAATTCTAGAGGAGAATGTCAGGCCATCTGTCCGTGAGCTAAAGCTGAACCAACCAAAAGTGGGTCTTGCAGCAAGACAATGATCCTAAACATATAAGCAGATCTACAAAAGAATGGCTACAGAAAAAAATTCCACTTTTTACAATGGCCTAGTCAAAGTCCGGATCTAAACCCCATCTAAATGTTGTGGCAGGACCTGAAGTGAACTGTCCATGCAAGGCAACCCTCAAATGTTACCAAGTTGAAGGAGTTCTGTCAGGAGCAATTGTCAAAAATTCCTTAAATTCGATGTGAGAAAGTGACCAACGATTACAGGATACACTTAATTGGAGTCATTGCTGCTTAAGAGGGGGGGGGGGGGTGTCACCAGTTCCTGAATCTAAAGGTTTGCATACTGTTTCACACGTGGTTATGGAATGTAGAATCATGAAGATTAATAAATGTTGAAAGAGTATCATGTTTGTGTGTAATTTGTTTAATCAGGTTATCTTTATATATTATTATAGGACTTAGATTCTAAGGTCTAATAACATTATAGATTTGAAATATGTAAAATATGTGAACATCCTAAGGGGTTCACAAACTTTTTCTCAGCACTGTATACACTTGGCTCTTTGCAGACCTCATGGCTACTTTTTTTGCTCTTGTTCTATGACAGATTGGCCATCACTGGTGTAGGCGATGAGAGGTAGGTTCTTCTGTGGGGTGGCCAAGCGATTGTTCAGGACATTTGCAACTTGGGACATTAGTCACAGGTTGTTCCCTACAACCTTAGACATCTGGCAACCCAGGAGCAATATATTTAACAATCCGACTGCTAATTAGACTAAGAAAGTCAAAACCTGTTTCGAGTTTTCCTGCTTGAACTAATGCTGCTGGAAAACATTAACCCATACATTCCAGGGGCTGATCGACCTAATTTTCAAGTTACTTCAAGTGGTGGTGACCCACAGTCGCACCGTGGGTTATTCTCAATTGCCCAATCGGTGTGGCATAAAAAATCCACATCTGCCATGTGATGCTGTGATGCGGTTTCAATGCGGACGCTTGTCTGCTGGGTGAAGTGAAACCCGGAGGTCCTTCAGTGAAATTGGTGAACAAAATTAAAGAGCTCGTTCGGAACATCAGTATTTTCCCGGTTCGCTCTGCACCGAGTCTCTGGACAGAACGAGGGTGCTTTGAGAGCCTGCGCTTGACCTCAAAGAGAGTTGTGGGAATTAAGTCTGTGAGGCTTTGGGAGGTTCTGATGGTCTTCTTGAAATCGGCAAGCGACGGAGTCAAACAAGCGTGGAAACCACACAACTGCGGTCACCAAAGTGGAACGCAACTACCAATGGTCAAGATCTTTTTTAAATGACAATTTTCTTCTCACTAATCGCATGAAACTTTGTGGCGGACAGCCCAGGACATACTGCCACCCTGCGTATGCGTCGGCCAAATTGGAGCCGAGAAAAGTCTCAAGGAGGCGACGAACGTTAACGCTGGACCAGCCGGGTGATCGAACGCACTTTATGAGATTGGCTATCCAGCCGAACGACTCACCTGTTCAGGCAAGCTCCGTGCCTCCGAGTTCTCAATAGAATAACGCGACCGATTTGCAAAATAATCGCGCGTTATAAATCGTGTTCATTATTTATGATTAAAAGATTAAACTGTTATTAAGGACAAAAAAACAATGAAGCAATCGCTGCTACACAGTGCACCTGGTACTCGGTGTAAAGTGTGTACTCTGCGGCCGAACGGTGCGTCGTGTCTCTCTGGCACAACTGGCACTGTGATGCAACAGCCCCAACAAAAACACTCCTTTATTGTCAGTTAAAACCCCAAAACGTAGTAATTTAACGGCAAATGTGGCAGCGAGATCTGTTGAGAGACGCCAACGCACCTTGTCGCCAAGAAGGAGGTGCCCATAAAGCACTCTGTAGTGCGGTGCTTGTGACGGGGCCTCCGAGACGGGCTCACGGTCCTCTTGGGGGCTGGCGACCCCTCAGCGGTGCCCATTCTTCAGTATCTTGGAAAAACACAGAACCGTGCACACACATAAAGATGCACACAAAGATATACGCATGCACGCACGCTTGGGAAATTCCGTTTTTGATTAAGGGGAGTTTGGCCGCTGTTCATCAAAATTGCGGTAACCGGTGCGGTAACAGAAAAGGGAGTCCCAGTCAACTCAAGATTTGTAACGCGCGGCTACATTCAGCAGAAAGCCATGACAGAAACATGGACGGCACGGAAACATTCTCAACAAAACATGAGGTGTAGAGAATTTTTTATTTTTAGTCCGGTCTTAAAAGCACCGATTCTCACAGCTGACCAGACCTCAGATAGCACTCTTCCAGGACACCAGGCTTGCAGATGAAAAGCTCCGTTTTGCTCTCCTAAATCAAGTGGATTTGACACATAGCAGCAGGTTCATGCCAGATAGTATAAGTATGGATGGATGGCATCGTTCAGGTAAGATGATTGCCGATCTTCTTTGCTATAAAAGCCAGTACCGTGACCTAGAACTGGACTCTCACGTGCATTGGTAACCAGCGGAGCTCTTTCAAAAGGCTTGAGGAAGCTTGCGAGGAGTGGGGTCTGGGCAAACAACGTCGGCGAGGAGGGTGTTTTGGAAAATGCTGGAGTCGTCTGCCAAGGCTATCGTTGACTCCGTTATAATAGTCGAGACGTGAGGGCCAACTGGACCACATGCGATATGCTTATTTGTGCAATTTCTGATAATGTAGAGTCCCAGCTGTGATAAGTGCAAAACTGGATAAATTCGCCGACGCACGAATCAAACGTGAGATGTTTGTCAAGTACCATACCCGGAAATTTAAGATTTCCGCGTGTTGCTACGGAACTACACGGCATGATGGTGGAAACTGGCACGTCCAGACATCGTAACTTCTGACAAGTTGCAGGTATCGTAGTCTCGGACATTGAGGGCTTGAGTTGTAGGTTGTTTAGCAGCGGCCAGTATTGTAGAGCTGATGTATATTCTGAGAGCAAGTTCATTGTATTAGGACCATAAGTTTTGAAAGAGATGTAGAACTGGGTATGTACGTATGTTGAACTTCGTTCACACCGAACTTAGCCAACCGTGCTAATCAGAGGCATGGTATCATCAGCATATCGATGTACAGATTCACTCAAATTCTGTAAAAGTCTGGCTACTTGAGACAACGGATCCCAGTGGGACGCCGAACAGATACAGGATGATGCTGGACGTGTCTTGTCTGCAGGTGGTGCAGGACGCGGTGATTAATGGGGTCACGAGCGACTAAAACGTTCAGTCCCTCGTGCTACTGCCAACCCAAAAGAATCAACAGCCACCAGGTCATTGACAATAACCACACGACTGTGGCCTCAGTCGATTGGAGGGCTCGGTATGTAGACTGGACAGGGCTGAAGTTTATTGAGCCAGATACATGTGGTCATAGCCACACCGGTCTTTGTCGCTCGACTGTTTTCGAGTTTGTAAAAATAATGGAGATAGACCAATAATGTGTGACTTCGCACCTGTCAAGATTATTTTTAAGGAGTGGAATGATCTAGCACTTCTTCGAAATGGATGAGAAAGTGCAGGAGCAGAAGGTTTTGACAGGTGCGAGAACATCATCGACAGCTCCTCTTTGCAGACCTTCAATAGTGCGATTGGAAACAAATACCCAGAGAGGTCATCATTGGTAATCCTTCGATGATCTTCTGAGATGAGAAAATAAAGGGGGTAAGAGGAAACCTAGGAGAGAAAGGTTGACACAGCATTGTATGCATGTGTAATGTAGCTCTCAGAGACAGTCTTGTATTTCCATGTATATATTGGAATAAAGTCCACTGACAACTCAACGAGTAACCAAGAGTGACTATATATGCTTGGTTAGTTAGACGACTCGATTCTTGGACAACATAGCTTCTCGTCTCAAGACATCTCGAAAACGATGGAGACGACCTGTCCAAGGCGACGACGACACATCAACAGCCACCAACTCCGGCATTGCGCCGGCTCTTATGCCTCGCCCGGTCCGGCCACGCCCCTATTCTCGAATTCTCCTCGCCACACCTGCTCTGTCAATCTCTGCCCTTATAACACTTCCCCCGCCATTGGATCCCATGCTCCCCCTCATGTGATCCTGTCAACGTTTGTCTCATCAATCATCATTAGCACGTCCATTAGGAACCATACTGTCCCATTATCACTCCGTGCTGTCTTTACATCACCCCCCCCCCTCCCTCTCTTAAAAAAAATAGCAGTCCTCGGCTAACACAATTTCAAACAATTTATTTTTAGGCCGAATCAACCATTTAAAACAACGCATACCAATTGTTTGAGAATTGAAGGAACAACTTGCTCCTTAGAAGAACAATGCAGACAACCATAACCAAACCAACAACACAACAATATTTCCAAAATCCGAACAACCCAAGCACGCAACCCCCGCGATCATCCCGTCAAGCCACGGACATTTTGAACGGACAGACGCCCACAACACACAAGGAAACCAACAACATCACGGCGATCCGTCAACGAAATGTCCAGTTCTTGACGTCGGTCCTTCTCCCCGGGCAGATTTGTGGCCGTCAATGGCCAAGAGGGCTTGCACTCAAGCCCGGGGGGGGTTTTGAGGTCTTTGGGCACTTCTGACGCCAGGGATTCAAAACGGGGGGTGGAACAACACACATCCCTCGACGTTCGATTACTCCGGCCCACCGACCCGGCCCGTCCTACACCCCAGACCCCGACCGCACAACACTGGGGATGAATGATTCAAGTCTAAGACGGACATACGGTTAGAACGCAACTCATGGGCTGCCCAGCGGCGACATATCACTCGCCCTTGCCCACTCCGCGGCCGTCAATTTTTAACAACCTCCACCAGCCATTAACCTGGCCAGTGCAAATTTCGGGGATTAAAGCAATGGCACTTCCTAACCGACTCAGCCATGCTCTATCCCGTACTACACCTCCTCTGACTCACACACTTCAACACATCATACAGCCTGACGATTTATTGACAAGGAAGGTTTGTCCCTTCCAGAGGCCGGACCCCATCCAACATCCATAGGGGCGAATTTCCACGGCCAACATTCACTCAACAGGAATCGCATTCAACAGGAATCGCATTCAACAGGAGTCACACTCAACCTCCTGCGCCCCGAACAACTTAGGGTTACTGCCACAACTCACCCTTCCATGCTTCACAGCATGCGTTCTAACACCCTCCTCTCTCAGCGGTTGGCCCGAACCCATCACTCCTTGCTAACCTCGCTTAAGCAATACCTCTTTCACCTGAACCCCCGCAATTTTCATATCCCCGAATGGGATCTGCAGGAACGGTTCCCAATTTCCACTTAATAGCGTTAGCACCCAGAGCGGTGCGAGTCCGCAACCCTTACACTCTAGACAGGCCAAGGAGGACCTCCGTCTCCTGCCCGCCAGGTCAAACCGTTGCAAGGACGCACAGGACCACTATTATCAATTAAAGTGAGCCCCCAACACGACGGGACCACTACTCCTGAGCAACGTGAGCCCACAGCCCAGTGCTCTAGACTTCCCAATGAGGGTCTCGACCTCCGGGCCGTCAGGTCGGGCCGTCTGCCGCAACACGACGGGACCACTACACTCATGTCCGGCGGATCTCTAGAGATTCCTTGAATTTTACCTGCGCCAACTAACGCTTGCCGATGGGGGGAATCCCCGTAACAATCGTGGTCCCATGGCATCCGAACACACCCTGGTCATTCAACACTTTCGGGCCATCCTGATCAGGATCCGTGCCCCAGAGGTAGGCCACAGCCTACGTCCCAATCCAACACTGGCACCCCATCTCTACAAAATCCTAATTACCTCCGTTCGCCGCTACACACGCAATCACCCCAGCGAACCACAACGATCCCTTAATCTAGAGGGCTTCATGACAAAACGATTCCAGAGTCACAATCCAAGGCACTCACCCCTGAACACATATTTTCACACCAAACACACCATATACAATTCCCCATGAACCAGCCGCACCTACCACTACTCGGCCCGCCAGCTTTCGCTACTGCGTGCCTGAGTTCGGGCTCTACGAATCCCCGATGCGAGGTGAGTTTTAGCGGTCGGGTGTCTAGTGCATCGTGACTCGTCTGGGCTAGGCCGTAGCTGTCGATGAGGCGGTGGACGCAAGGGCTCCATGATGTCCCCACGACGCTTGGGATCCCCGCACGAAGTATTGAAGCTGGCCGCAGCGGAGCAGGTGAGCCTGGGCGCCCGCGGCGAAGGTGCCGAATTGGACCGGGATCACCACTCCGGGAGCCGTCCCGGCATCCCCCCATCGCCGCTGGTCCCCTCCACGAACCGCAGCCATCACTCCCCTCGTAGGCTCCGTTTCTTCCTACGACAACTCCACAAAAATCTTGGTCGGCCGGCCCATTCGTCACCAAGCCGAGGTTTTCCGATCCCTGCTTCCACCCCAGACTGTCTTCGCCAGGTTCCGCCCGCTTGTATACTGCCGACATCTCCTTGTAGGCTGCCTGAAGCGTGGCCCTCCTCTCCTCCGGAATGGCCCAGAACACTGCGAGGCCATCATCATCAAGAGCCGTAGGCAAAGAAGCCAGCGCCTCTTCCTCCATCCAGCCGACAGACACTGCTCCAAACCGGCAGGTGAAGGCACTCCAGTCCCCCCCCCCCGCCGCCGTAAATTATTTGATCAATGGCAGCCTTCGTGGTTGATCGTCGGCTCCTCGCACCGCTGCCCGAGATGACACCGCCTCCGCTGCCTTCTGCGTAGGTTTCAAAATGGCGGCCATCGGTCGTGTCACCTCCCGCAAAATGGCGGCCCCCGACCGCATGATCTCCAACGCGGGAACCCCGACCGCCCGACTTCGCGGCTCATTCCCGGCTGCGTCGGCTCCCGAAATCGCCACTCTCCTCTTCGATGTCAAGTCAGCGACGGACAACCGGAGCCGATCTGCCTCCGCCATCAAGGCTTGCCACTCCTCCGACGCAGGTGCCGCATTCTCTTCACCCTCGGGCTTCGTCACCGGGCTCCCGGCTCCCGGGGCTGCAGTGGGAACTCCTTGACCGTCTCTCTTCTCCGTCTTTGAAGATGTTACAGGTGGGTTCTTACTATTTCCTTTCTTAGGCATTTTACAATAGCCACTTCTGACGCCACTGTAATGTAGCACTCAGAGACACCGTGCTGTCTTTCTATATAATTATTAGAATAAAGTCCATTGACAACTCAACGAGTAACGGCAAGTGACTATATGCACTTGGTTAGTTAGACGACTATTCTGGGACAACATAGCTTCTAGTCTCAAGACATCTCGAAGACGATGGAGACGACCCGTCCAAGGCGACGACGACGACGAGTCCTTACACCAACAGCCACCAGCTCCGACTCGCACCGGCTCTTATGCCTCGCCTGGTCCGGCCACGCCCCTATTCTCGAATTCTTCTTGCCGTACCTGCTCTGTCAATCTCCGCTCTTATTACAATTCTCCCGCCATTGGAACCCGTGCTCCCCCTCACGTGACCCTGTCCACGTTTGTCTCATTAATCATCATTCGTACGTCCATTAGTAACCATGGTCCCGGGGAACCATACTGTCCCACTATCGCTCCGTACTGTCTTTCCACATGTATGTTGAACTTCTTTCGCATGGTATGTAGCCAACCATACTAATCGGAGGTGTGGGGTAAGGACAACAAACTAAACAAGAAAGCAGTTCTAAAGAAATTAGTTTTCAATATAGATTATTTAAAAGTACATTGCTCCAGTGGCTTCCTAATATTGGAAGAGAGTTCCAGACGACCGCAGAAGTGCATCTGAAAACGCGCGATGCGGTGACCGTCTTTTTTCTATAGCTAGCTAGAAGCTGCTGCGAGAATGACCGGAGTTTGCGTGATGGTTTATGCTCCTTGAGAAGATCAGGAAGGACAACTAAACACAAAAAGCAGTTCTAAAGAAATTTGTTTGTCAATCTAGATGATTTACAAGCACATATCTCCAGTGGCTTCCTAATATCGGAAGGAAGAACGTTCCAGACTGCCGCAGCACACCTGAAGCAGATAAAATATGGTACAGCGGTGGGATTATGTAAAGGGAGGCCATAGTGTGTTGGAGTAGCTGAATTAGGCAATCAAAGCTGCTTAGCATAACGAACAGCCACCACAGGAATGGAAGACAATCATCATACCACTACACCAATGAAATAAGTCAGTTGAGTATCCGGGGTCAAGTATTACCAAACTATGTATGAATATGGTGAAGTATCAGATGGAAAAACCGTTTACAGGAAAATTAGAATGGATTTATATAAGGGAGGGGCTTGAGTGATTAGATTGGTACAGCAGATAGAGAAAAGTTGGCAATATGGGGTGGATCACTGGATTTCCTTTGTAGACTTTAAGCAAGCCAATGACGAACCTCTGGAAACTGCCAGCCTGTTTCGGCATCCAAGGTAGGATACTCCAGATGCTGAAAATTGTGTAGATGGCGCTCAGGCCTGTGCACAGGCATCAACTACGGATGCGCGGAAATTAGACAGGATAAGTAAATGCAGAAGACCAGACGAGAACATAGCAGGTAAGTGTTGAAAATATGATGAGGAAAAAAATGGTTGCGCTGGATGGGACACGTGTGCAGGATGAGGGAGGGCCAGTTTATCAAGGCGGGCATGGAGTCATCTCCAAGAATCCAGTGACCAAGCGAAATACCGAAGTCACAGCAGATGGTAGGATACTGTTCGGGAAGACCTTGGAGGTCGAGTGTCTACTATGCAGCAGCTGCGGTATCTGGCAGACGGTAGAACGCATTGGCGAGGTCTGGTGACATCAACGGCTTTGGCCATGATGATACGGTTCAGGAGTTTGGCGGTTTAGGTGAAGTTACAACTTGGGGTTGAGTACTTTGGTAACCTCAGGCCTGCTTTTCTTAATCGTCATCTACGGGGATCGGAGTTTCAGTTGTTGCAGTGTCGACGTTGATCAATCCGACTTGTTCATGAGGTGACATTCACCACCACCCCCACAAGGCCCCGTTTGAAACGGTTTAAATCCATATAATAACAATTTCCTTTATTTATCCAGGAAAAGCCTCACCGACTCTTAAGAATCCTTTTTTTTGAGGAGGCTTCCACAAGGAGATGTTCAGAAGGTTCCACTTCTGAGCATTTGGCTTTGCATGCAAGGAAACCAGAAAGCAGAGTAGCCGGAGTGAAAACATAGCTGTGAGGCAGAGCTCCACACACATGGATTCAAGAATCTTCATTGGTGGTGCCATCTTCGGACCATGTCACAGTGGACATGGTCCAGATGCCACTCAGTTGTTGTTGGAGTAGGCAGAACCTCAGAGTTGTTAGCCACGAGTTTGAATCTCAGCCAGGGTCAACATGGACTGATAACTACTATCACGACCATCATCACTTAGGAGAGGCTAAAATGATCATCACATTTGTGCAGTTAACATGGCAAAGTTGATGTTTTACGGAGATATTTGGTGCCTCGCCATCTCAATTGTGGATTTCCACCATAGGATCAACACGAAAGAGTGTGAGCAATGGCCTGCAAGGTCTAGGCTTATACCCACTGACATTTTCCTCTCTTTTTGTGTCGTGTGAAGACGCCAAGAATAAAACCAACACCACTCAATTTTCTGCATCTTTCACCGAGTCTTAGGGCCCATTTTCACGAGGTTCCTGCAATTGTGAAATGTTTGGCCGATGCCTTAATACTAACGTAAATGCGCACTGCACAGTGTTTAAACAGCCAGTTCATAACGCACTGTTATACAAAAAAATGCGATAGATATTACACGCAAAAAAAACCCCATTGGTCTTAAATATATCATTGTTTACAAATGAATACGCTGACACACTCTGATAAGACTTCGGGGCAAATGGAAACACAGCGGTGGATCAACGTTTGCGGTGGTTGCTTATAAAATGAATTAATAACCACACGGCACTCTACATAATACATAAGAGACAAATAAACCTACACTACGGCATTATACACACACACACAACCCCTTACTACCCACCAAAAAAAACGAGACATCACATTGAACGCGACGCACTTTGTACAAAAAGTAGACGAGCCGACAAAACTCCGAAGCAAGACGGCGAAAATAAAAAATATATATTAGACGCAATTTTACGCAGCCTCGTAAAGATACGTCCGCCAAGGACGGGAAGAATCGCCATTACGCGAACCACGGTTAGAGAGGCGGAGACGCCCGGCCTCGGCCGGCGGCCTAGCGCAGGCTTCCCGCGGAAAAATCCAGGCGAGAGCCTCGGACGAACGGGGCGGTAAGCGGCCAGCGGCGGTTTCGAACGTCGGGAGTGGGAAAAGCGTAAAAAAAAAACGCTGTGGTCGTCTAAGCGGACGACGACGACGATATCGAGCGTGTGCGGAGAGAATTAGAGGGACAAGAGAGAGAGAAAGAGAGCGCGACATCGAGCGAGCGATGAATTCCTTACCTGGCGTAGCGGAGGTTCTGTGCGGAGTGGCAGCGAAGCAGGGCGACTGCCCCCAACCGACTCGCAACTGAAATCATCAAACAGCTCAGGAGGTTTAACCCCCCGGATTATTCTTATTATTATATACAGGGAGGTTGAGTAAACAAATAAAATGTCTGTCTGTTTGTTGTTTATCTCCTTGTGATGGGACTTTGTAGGATTAACGTTGAGATAATGGGTTGATAGGGATGTCGTAGTGTAGTGTATAGTAGTGTAGTGTGTAGTGTATTGTAGTGTATAGTAGTGTAGTGTGTAGTGTAGTGTACCGTATTGTAGTGTATTGTAGTGTATAATATTGTAGTGTATTGTAGTGTAGTGTGTAGTGTAGAGTAGTGTAGTGTATAGTAGTGTAGTGTGTAGTGTAGAGTAGTGTAGTGTGTAGTGTATTGTAGTGTATAGTAGTGTCGTGTGTAGTGTATAGTAGTTTAGTGTGTAGTGTATTGTAGTGTATAGTAGTGTAGTGTATAGTAGTGTAGAGTAGTGTAATGTGTAGTGTAGAGTAGTGTAGTGTGTAGTGTATAGTAGTGTAGTGTATAGTAGTGTAGAGTCGTGTAGTGTATTGTAGTGTAGTAGTGTAGTATGTAGTGTACCGTAGTGTAGTGTTTTGTAGTGTATAGTAGTGTAGTGTATAGTAGTGTAGTGTATAGTAGTGTAGTGTGTAGTGTATTGTAGTGTATAATAGTGTAGTATGTAGTGTATTGTAGTGTATAGTAGAGTAGTGTAGAGTAGTGTAGAGTAGTGTAATGTGTAGTGTAGAGTAGTGTAGTGTGTCGTGTATAGTAGTGTAGTGTATAGTAGTGTAGTGTGTAGTGTAGTGTGTAGTGTATAGTAGTGTAGTGTGTAGTGTAGAGTCGTGTAGTGTGTAGTGTATAGTGTAATGTAGAGTTAGCAGACCTGTCACAACCCACACGGTTTACCCCGTATTCTTGTACAGGGAAATTATGTTTTCAGGTCCATATGGCGTACAGCCGTTTCAACACGGCAATAAAACATTTGTGTCTATTTGTTTGTTATTTCTCCCTTGTGATGGGACTTTGTGGAGGATTTACGTTGAGGTTTATAATGGCCACGGGGTGATCGATAAGCTCTGAATTGGTCTGTAATCAGGTAGGGCACTGATCAGGGGTTGACAGCTATGTATACAATGCCAGTGAGTGGAACGCGGTCTGAAAATCACCGTAAACGTGAACACAATCACGTTTACGGTGACTTTCTCTGCAGGGAATGGATTCTTTGCTCCGCTGCAAGTTTCCTACCACTACTCACCCATTGACATATTTCGTTGCTTCCTCTTAGTATATTTCACACGACGGTCAATGGTACAGTGTATAATAACAAATAGTATAACATTTATATGCTTAATACAATGTACAAAGGAATATATAGTATCGTAATTGTATAGTCAATATACAGCAGTGTGATATACATTAGGGTGGGTAGAATAATACATAGTGCAATATTACAATGTATAAGGTGGTTTATAGCAATACAGTATATAATTTAATGTTGGGTTTGTCTATGGCAGTATATCGTACGGTGTAGACTCGTGTGATGTAAGAGAATAAAGTTTAGATGGAAGCATATTATATATTTTTACGACGTAGAATTTTAATGTATTACTTACTGCTAGTAACTCAGCTTATTGTAGAGTATATTTAGTATACTGATGATACTATGTAGTTTATACTTTAGTTGTTTACGTGGTGGTTTTAGTTACTGCAGCTACATACTATTAACACTCCTTCCCTTTATTAATGCTACCCCTATCCCCTCCCTTTGATGCTGCTAATCCTGCATATGCACGGGCATAAGTAGTCTTATTCACATACCTGCATTTCCCATATCCCCTCCCTTTGATGCTGCTAATCCTGCATAATGCACGGGCATGAGTAGTACTAATCACATACCTGCATTTCCCATAAATATGCTAAATGCCTCTTGATATATATATTCTTTTGTCAAGGCGCTCTTTTCCCCCCTTCCAACCCAGCTTATATATATGCTCCAAGCACGTGTGCTGTTTCATTCAGACGCTGTCGCCTCGACAGACGAGGTTTTCACCTGAGGACAGCTGCTTGCGTTGTGGCCGAAACGTCGTGAGAATTGTTTTATTATGTTTTATTTTTATTATTTTATTACTTCCCTTCTACGTGACTTTACCGAAAGAACCAAGAAGATGAATCCCTGCAGTCACGAAAGCTTTCAATCGAAATTTACATTGCTCCGTTTTAATTTTTTTTACCATTGCTTGTTTCATTGTATGTAATGGCAGAGATTAGGGACTGATAAAGTACAACCATAACCACAATCATCTCAACAGAATCTATGCATTGATTTATATGAAGACAAGTCCAGATATTGTGGCCAAGTTTTAGCAAATTGTTATTTTTATTTACATAGCAATTCTTTTTTTAAAGCAATATATTAAGGGGGGGGGGGGGGGGGGACATTTTCAGCATATTTGAATATTGGGGGGGGGGGGTGTGTCCCCCCTAATATATATTATAATTACGGCCTTGATATATTTACATATTATTGTACCAGGTAAGACCCACTTTGTGCTACGTCGCTCTTTTTTTCAGAAGCGACTCTGGCCATCACAAATGACAGCTCAACCAAATGGCTCTATCATGATCACGTGGACATTGATGGCAGCAGCAGCAGCCAAACCATCTACAGCAGCGTTCTTCGTTAATTTTCAGAGGGGGGTGAGGGGGGAATTTCACCAATAGGACATCGTCAGTGTGAGGGCAACCACACATTTGAAACCATTGGGGGTTTGACAACAGTACAATAAAGAACGCTGCGATGTACTAAACTATATGATTATTTTACCAGGTAAGACCCACTTTTAGCTACGTCGCTCTTTTTTTCAGAAGCAACTCTGGCCATCACAAATGACAGCTCAACCAAGTGACTCTATCATGATCACGTGGACATTGATGACAACAGCAGCAGTAGCCAAATGCTCTACAGCAGCGTGCATCGCTCATTTTCAGAGGGGGGAGGGCACTTTCACCAATAGGACATCGTCAGTGTGAGGGCCACCACATATTTGAAACCATTGGGGGTGTGACAGCAGCACGATGATGATGATGATGATACGCTGTGTTTTCAATATTTGTGTATTGTTGGGGGCTGCACGTCAGGGGCCGCACTAAAGGCTACCAGGTCCGCCAGTGGCCCGAGGGCCTTGCAATGAACGCTGATCTACGGGGTGGTCCTTGCAACCCCCAATTAATTGACCCCTAACATTTTTAGTCCCCTTTGCATATTCATTTGTGCAGATGTCTACTGGGCATCTGTGAAAGAAAGAGCTTTATAGCTGATCGGATTCCTCCAATATAAGTAAATATTCTGATTCTGGTGATTTCTGGTTTAAATAAACCTTACCTTAAAAATATATGTATTACGTTTTAGAAAATTAAAGTGGACACTCTCTCCCTCGTCCTCCTCCTCCGTACGGCTGATGTTGGTTGCCCTATGTTTACATCGAGGTGGTTGATGACCCAGATGATTTCGTCAAGAGTAGTGGAGGTTGTGATGCCTCCTTCATAGAGGTCTCCGTATGAGTCTACAGGTCTCTACTTGAGTATACGGGTCTCTATGTGAGTCTATAGATCTCTGTGTGAGTCTATCGATATATTGTGTGAGTCTATGGGTCTTTATGTGAATGCATTTATCTCTGTGTTAGTCTATGGGTCTTGATGTGAGTCTATGGGTCTCAGTGTAAATCTATTGATCTCTGTGTTAGTCTATGGGTCTCTGTGTTAGTCTACGGGTCTCTGTGTGAATCTATCGGTCTCTGTGTCAGTCAATGGGTCTTGATGTGAGTCTATGGGTCTCGGTGTCAATCTATTGATCTCTGTGTTAGTCTATGGGTCTCTGTGTTAGTCTATGGGTCTCTTTGTGAATCTATCGGTCTCTGTGTTAGTCTATGGGTCGTGATGCGAGTCTATGGGTCTCGGTGTCAATCTATTGATCTCTGTGTTAGTCTATGGGTCTCTGTGTTAGTATATGGGTCTCTGTGTGAATCTATCAGTCTCTGTGTTAGTCAAAGGGTCTTGATGTGAGTCTATGGGTCTCGGTCTGAATATATTGATCTCTGTGTTAGTCTATGGGTCTCGGTCTGAGTCTATGGCTCTCGGTGTGAGTCTATAGATATCTGTCTTATTTTCTGTACGGCTGCTGATGTTGATGATGAAGAGCCAACAGCTGTGATCTCATGCACAACGAGGTGATTGATAAGCCAGATGACAGCGTCAGGAATAGCGGAGTGCCGAATCATCGCTATGTGAGTTTACGGGTCTCTATGTGAGCCTATAGATATATAGTGTGAGTCTATGGGTCTTTATGTGAGTCTATGGGTCTCGGTGTGAATCTATCGATCTCAGTGTTAGTCTATGGGTCTTGAGGTGAGTCTATGGGTCTCTGTGTGAATCTATCGATCTCTGTGTTAGTCTATGGGTCTTTATGTGAATCTATTGATCTCTGTGTTATTCTATGGTTTTTTATGTGAATCTATAGACCTCTGAGCCTAAATGTCTCTGATTGAGTGTATGGGCCTCTATTTGAGTCTATTGATCTCACGGTGAGTATATGGGTCTCTATGTGAGTCTATGGGTCTACATGTGAGTCTATAGATCTCTGTGTAAGTCTGTGGGTTTCTATGTGAGTCTATGGATCTCTATGTGAATCTATAGATCTCTGTGTGAGTCTTTGGGTTTCTATGCGAGTCTATGGATCTCTATGTGAATCTATAGATCTCTGTGTGAGTCTGTGGGTTTCTATGCGAGTCTATGGATCTCTATGTGAATCTATAGATCTCTGTGTGAGTCTGTGGGTTTCTATGCGAGTCTATGCATCTCTATGTGAATCTATAAATCTCTTTTCTTCTCCGTGTGTGGTGAATCATAATCGCTGCTCTGACGATGTCAAGACCACCACCACCTCCTCCTCTGTTACAAATACCGTGGTTCTGTTCTGGGTGCTTGACCGCAGTCTCCGCACACTGCCCGGAGAATTCGTAATCTCCCATAAGTGCATCATCATCATCATC